TTAATTGGATCTATTGAGTCCTTTAGTCGACAAAGTTCATCTCTGAGAGAGTTGGCGGTTTACATGCCACTCTAATTCCGGCCTCATTCAGAATCCTACGCAGGAACACTGACGTTCCTGCTTTGAATTCCATAATATTTTTGTTATTTTCATCATTGTATTGCTAGTCTTATTTTCTCTGTGGTTCTTCATATATTTTTGAATAAATTCTGGTGGATAGTTATTCACTAGTAATATTTCCTTCATTTATTTGATTTCGTTATTTAAATCTTCTGGCCTACTAGTTAGCCTCTTAGCCCGATTATTTTTTTATTTTTTTTTTATTTTATTTTTGATTATACAGACATTTAACTAAACCTTTATTTGCCGATTCTGGATGGGATGAATTAAAGTCTAAGTATTTATAAGAGTGTGTCTGTTTCCTTTAAATGCTAGTATCTAACTCACTTTCTTGTTTTTGTCTTATTCTACAATCTAGCATGGCCAACTCACCCTGTTTATTTTCTATTTCAGAAGTGAATTGGATTCCGTCTACTATTGGGTTTATATGTGTGAGAAATTGAGGGATATGTTCAGAATAAGTCATCCACACATCTCCACCATAACCTAGAAGCAGGATTATACTTTCTAAGAGCCTTATGTTCCCAACTATCCATGAATATGTCTGCTACTATTGGAGAGATTGGTGATATCATTGCCACCCCAATCGTTTGTTTACATAATTTATTTTGAAATTTAAATACAGGGTAGGTTAGTGATAACTGAACACCTAATATGGTTTCATCAATCGAAAGCTTAGTCCTACTTTCGGGTCAGGATCCTTGTTCAGTTCATTCCTGACTGCCTCCAGAGCTGTATTAATGGGAATATTAGTATATAGAATGGTTATGTGAAAACAAATCATTTTCCAACCTTTTTTAATTAAATTTCCTCTAGTTTCTGCTTCGTCACATAGGAATTAGTTAGCCTAGAATTTGAACTATCTCTAGTGGGGCATAATATTAATGCTAAATATTTAGATAACTCGTACGTCGGAGTGTTCCGAAAGTCAACTGTTTTTTGATTTTGTTCATAATAGTGACCACAGGTTTTTTAATTTCCTCATATGGGCCTGTTTCAATATGCTGATTGACCTTGTTTATGTAGTCTGATGTGTCCATGACTACTGTTGTATTACCCTTGTCCGCCTTTGCAATCACTATGTTTCGTCGTTTCTCAGCTGCTATTTCCTTTTATGATAAGTTGCTTCTTCCTTTATTCTGATTTTTTTATTGTCAAGGCACACTGTGCTCTGATTTGTCCCGCAGTAGTTCTGTCTGTTTCACTTAATACTGCTTCTATACTGGGAATGACGTCTTCAAGTTTTAATCTGTTAACAGCTACATTGAAGTTTAATCCCTCTTTAAGTACTTTTATTTCATCAGAACCTAAGGCTCTTGCTGAGAGGTTAATTATCCACTTTGTTTTATTGATGGTTGACTGTTCATTGATGAGTTCTTTTTCTTTAGCAGGATATTTTCCTTCCATTAATTTGTTAAGCTTTTTGATTTGAGTATTTTTTGATCTATTGAATTTAGCCGAACTTGACATTTTAGCTGTCTCGAGTAACATTCCATAATCCTTGTTATCTACGATACTTTTTTGTTTGGACTTCAGTTGTTCAGTCTCAATTCTGATGGCAGCTAGCTTCTTGATGATTCAATGGGTCTCTTCTCTTAAGCAGAGTCTAGTCAATCAAAAACATCTGACATGATAAAAACACGGTATATTTTTCTCTGTTTAATTGTGAAGTGGTTGGGTATAGACGGGACATAATATGGTGATTAAAAATATTTTCTGTGAAACTGTCACTGTGTGTTGCACAATCATATAACAAATGATTCTGTTTATGCTTTATTTACATTCATAGTAGGACAGTGGAATAATTCACTTCATTTTACATGTTCTAGTGGGATAAACTTTAGATAGAATGATATAACTAAGCAATGCCAAAGTCAATACTAGCAGGTTAATACACTTACTTCTTTGGTACTATACAGCTGCTTTACATGTAGAAACTTGAAGCACTTGCAAAACAAGTCCATCAAGGAGTCACTACCACAAAACATTTTCATGCATCCAGAGCCGATTAATAGTGAGTACATTTAGAGGAGGACCGGTATCTACATCTACTACCACAACCAGTACAGGTTGTGTACTCTCATATTTGTTAGTTTCTAGTTAGGTAAAGTCAGTCTGGTTGGTGGGGAAAAACTCCGTAGGCTAATTTGTTTGCAAATCTACAAGGTATAATCATATAGTCCACTTAATAAAAATGAACGCATAAAATAAACTTCAGAATGTCTGTAATGAGGTTTGAAGGACACATAATCAAGATAAAGCCACAACACTTTGTCTTTTAGAGTCCATAAACAGCTGTTAACATAAATATAGGGTGATACGAACACCACCTAATTCAGTTAATTATCAAACCTGAAGGTTATAAATACGTTGTGATAAGCTAAAAAAATGACAAAAGAATATAATAATCCTCAGTTTTACGATTTGGTAATCGGTCTGTTTATTTACATCATTATCCACATTGTAGCACTGGAGAACGTCGACTAAGAGAGAAGAAAGTAGTATGAAATAATCAATATTCTCCACAAAACAAAATTATTTGTAGTTCTAATGACTGAAAAAATCATTGAATAAAAATCTGTATCATTGTGTTTAATTAGTACAAATCATGAGTACATTTATTTCGAAACATCAAAAAAAATATAAGCAGTTATATCGTTACTTATACACAACAACATTACATGAATAGCCAGATTATTTTAACTCTGTCTGTCTGTCTGTTTTCGACATAGAACTTTTCACAAATGTGCGGAAGTTCAAGTCGCCACATTCCGTGTAGCACGCGAAGCAAGAGAAGAAAGTACAAGAAAAGCATAATAGAAACAGTGAGCAGAGGTGTGAGACAAAGGAGTAATAAAGAAATACAAAACAGTTTCATTGAAGATCATAAGTCACAGGGAGTGGATGCATCTGCGCCACTGAGAACGGTTTTGAGCCATGTCACCAATTGTTTCCAACCATAGATTTTTACCGTCTCGAGGACCCCAGCCTGGAAGTCTACACCTTTCTACGTGGCTTAGACCAACTGTTGTGGATTTCATTGACTGATGCCAAGTTTTTGTTTGACCGCCGCTAGCTTTTTTCCAGCCTGACCCTATATCCGCTAACATAGCTCGTCGAGGGAGGCGATGGCTTGGCATACGTAACACATGTCCTAACCATCTCAGTCTTTGTAGCTTCACGACTTCGTCGATTGATTTCCCCTGTTTACCTAGAACTCTACGCCTAACCTCCATGTTGCTCACCTTATTATGCCACTTTACACGGGAAATAGAGTGCAGGCACCTATGATCAAAGACAGCTAGTCTTTTTTTTAACTCAATAGTACATACTGTTTTAGACACCATAGTCTGCTACAACATGGGCCTAACAGTAGTAATCAAGATTTTCGTGCAAATTCCTATACATTAGTATTCCATCGAGATCAAATATGTATGCCTTGTACTCTGCACTCATCCTTTTTCATCGAGAAGACGTCAACTACGTCTGTGCTGAAGATAGTCAGCAGCTCGTATTCTTGTTATCAAACAGTTCTCAAATGCTTAACATATACATCAATAGAGTAAACGACTCAAATTATTTACAGAGTTGTATGAGTTCGAAGCAACCAAATTCTGAATTCCGACCAGAAGAGGTAAAACTATAGAATTCAATCAGTTATTTGAAAGGTGCGTTGCTCAAAGTGAGATTACAGTACAATTTTATTTTGAAATTAAAAATAATTAAACCTCTCGTCCACGCTACATTCATTACTTTCTCTCTTTCTATCAACAAATCTGCAAATTCCTAGTCTGCAATATCCCAAAACTATGAGTGGAATTCATGGAGAGGTGCACATAGTGACGGTAAGCCATATTCCAAACTATGTATGGAAGCCATCAGTTTCATCTCCAATTAGCCTAACTATCTCATTAACCAGTACTCTGGCATCCATAGCAATGAATGTTTGGGTGGTATAAACACAAGGTCCAGGTGCGTTCATTCACTAAAGACTTCCTTTCTAAAACCCATTTATTGCAAACGCTTAGTTGTAGAAAACATTTCTTGACCAGATACCAGTTAACTGTAGTATTTTTAAACGTATGTGTTAAATGATACCGCTAAAACCAAGAAAGATCGTGATAAATACGGATATTCTTCTGTATTCTCTACTTATATGCCCACTGAATGTTGTTCAGGCAGTAAAAAATACAAATTAGGCTGGAAACTGTTCGATTGTCTGCAAAAGATTGTCTTTTCAATTTTTTCTTTGTACAGGCTTTAATTTACAAGTCTGCAGGAAGACTAAAATCCTTGAGTCTTATTAGTAAATAACAACCGAAAATCTTCATTGCAACATTATGTAAGACACCTAATAGGGTATCTGATTTATTGGAAAATGCGAAATATAACGCATTTCACCACTCCACTACCCATCCTTAAAGTCGAAATCAATGCATAACATTGAAATAGCGCCAGCTAACATTTGGTGAACTAAATGGTATAACCAGGGCACTTTTAATGTCGTTCTGGACATCTTTGAAGCCAAATTCAACGTTGTCTAGAAAGAAAATCGAAGCGTCCCTACTAAACCATCCAGATTAGAGAACACAAAAAGTCCACACGAGCCGCAAAGCCTAGGTTGTTGCTAAAAACTTACTGCTCAGGACATTGAGGTGTCGCACTCTGTTGGCAGCTAAGCAGGAAACTACTTTCTACTCAAGCACTAAATCAGCACTAACGATGGTCGATTTACGAAAGATACGTAACAGATAAGGAACAAAATATGTTGGCTGTTGAGTGGATAAAACAAAGTTTTTATCTCGAAATATTTAATTCTTCCTCCAAACGAGTTTTTAGCCCACAGATAAAAACCTGTAATGTCTGCTTACGCCACAGAATGCAGTAATGAGGTTCCAATAAGATATTCAAAAGCGAATGTTCATTTCTACTGAGTAACAGCCAAGGAGTACTGATAAGTTTAACAACAAAAAGGACAAATGTAACTTTGACGCCTTGTTTCAGGATCACTGCCGATTGCCTTATAAGTTGCACTTTCCAACAAAAACAATTTGAAGAACACAAATAAATATATTAGCTTCAACTAGAAAATGAACAGTTTATAAGAACAACAATAAAATTAAAATGACGAAAACCATTCGGTCATAGATTGTGGCTAATATGGATATAAATTGGAATTTAGTTGGGAAATAAATAGGAATTAAGAAATGGTAGGAATATTAAGTTGTCATACATAAATAATAGATAGAAAGTATGTGAAATATAACAGTATCCATATTGTGAAACCTGGTTTATCTTCAAATTTCATAGGCACGAAAAAGTCTCAGCATATCTTGAAGATGGTCCGACTCATATTTATTTGTGAAAAAGTGATCTATGAAAATATGTGTAAATAATAAATCTTAACGAACCAATATTTGAAGCATCGACCAACATTCGGGGTGTATCTTTGACATCTGAGCTCCAATGCATACACTAAGTATTATTGATAAAGACATGAAATACCTCTTGAAATTTCTTCTCAAATTTAAGATACTCTTCAAACGAAAGACTCAGATCACTAGACAACCACATGTTGTACAAGTGACGAAGATTTCGGTCGGTCAAGACTTCTTTAGCCTTTTGAATCTTCTGAAATGATAAAGCTTCAAACAGTTAATTAGGACTACTAAGAATTACTAGCGCTCAGTCCTGGATTTCTGTCTGGATGAAACTCTCGAGCTTTCATGCGATATTCATACAGAATTTGGTCCTCCTAGTGAATGTTGATTGAGTTAATTTAACAAACAGATGAGTCTTCAGAAACACCAAGCAATTCGTAAAAATTATCCTTTTTGGTATCCGGTTTACTGCAGAGTGCGTTCATCCTCAAAATTTACAGGAATATTGACTACCAAAGGTCACTCGGCTGACTTTTTGAGAACAGAACCTATTGAACATGAAAGTAAATGGTACAACATTAATTTCAGTTGAACAGTCAGAAAGACCAATATAGAACCCTATAAAAGAAAGGTTCCTGTGCTTCACAACAAGAAACAGAAAAACACCTAGCAAAAATAGTATGGTTCTACGATGGAAAAGCAAATACGAGAAGAAAAATTAATTTGAGTTTGTTAAAAGTGGTCAGTGTTCCGAATGCGTTAAGGGAAGCACACATCTAAGTCATGATGAGGCATGATAAGACATGTTACAAAAAGGCTTCAACCTTTCAGTTATAGCATTCCAAAGACTGTGCGTCGGTGGCACAGTGGTTAGGACTCTCGCCGACAATTCACATGGTCCGGGATTCGAGCCCACGCCGACGCACACCTGATATCTATGGTTGGCCTGCGAATTTTGGGCTACCGATATTCAAGCTGAAAATTCCACACTTTACCAAAAATACAGTGTGGAATCAAGCTGTAACCAAAAATAAAAAAATAAAATAAATATATATATATGACATCTCTTGTTGATACTACACCTTATGTTGCTGAATAACCAAAGAATAGTGAAACGCTTAAGGTTTACATAATTACTAACTGGATCGCTTTTTAACCAATGGAAAGAAAGAACCTATTCGTGCAATCACCCAAAATATCGACATCACCTAACAACTTTTAAACCTGGTAGCGCGACATAATAACCTGAGGTCCAATTGTTTATATAAACATGGATTAATATGCTCCAAAAACATTTCATAAAAGAATTTCTCGCCACACAATGCTCATAATTCTTGCATGACACTTAAAGCATGATTTTGACAGAAATACTCAGAACTGAATTCCGCGGAATATATAATGTTTCAGGTATCAGAAGTCAAAAAGCTCATTAGGTTTCGATTGCGAAACTTCAAGGCATTTAAGATACAAGTTTTTTGTGCACCAGTTATGCACAGGATTGTTAATTCAGTTCTACTCCCGATAAAAAACTCGCATAGTTTAATAGCTCTCAAGTTTCCTAGCCAGTCCCGAGCCCGAGTTATACCGCTAGAGAAAATTCAACACACAGAAAATATATTAAAAATACTAAATCTTGAAATAACAATCTATTACTTCGCTGGAATAGTAGAGGCGAAATGACAGCAGGCTGGTGAAAGCCAGCTACTTCTTCAAGTTGCCAAAGAAGGGCGAAATAGTTAGGCGTATGCAAGAACTGACTGGCGAGGAACAATGCCAAGTAAAACACTGAATCGCATTATCCCGGAGAGAATAAAGAATGCACTGGATACAGATATCCGCTACCTCCACCAGAACAAGCTGGCTAGATTCGGGAAATGCAAATCATGTGCCGATCAAATGAAAACTCTACGCATCGTCATCACAGAACAGAGCATAGAATGTCAGTCAAATCTCTCTTTACCTCAAGTTGTTAGACTTCGAAAAGACCTTCGGCAGACAGAGTTGTCTGAAAATCAATTCGTAAACTGTTTCACACTACGACGTGCGGTTCCCAAGTCTTTGTCAACCTCATTCAACAGCCGGCTATATGACAATTCCACGTATCAAGTGATCTACATTGAGAAACACAGCAAGGCGTTCGAAGTGCATACAAAAGTAAGACAACGCAGCCTTTCATTTATCACCCACGATGATATTCTTAATTGCAGTGGACTGGATTATGCGTCAGTCCGTGCTTGGGAGTGGGGAGTCATGAATACACTGGATCGCCGATAAGAAGACTCCAGAAGATCTGGATTTCACACGTGGATGATGTATGTCTAATGCCACACAAACTCAAAGAATTACAGGCAAGCGAAAACCAACAAACTGGCTGAAGAACCAGGCAGGCGACGAAAACAGGACTGCAGGTGAACATAGACAACACGAAGGTAATGAAGATAACCAACGAACCGCAACAACAACAACAACAAAAACCAACACTAATCCCCGTCGACGGGAGACATTTAACAGAAGTTACTTCCTGCCTTCACTTATCTAGGAAGCCAGCATCGTTTCAACTACAAGTAGTCTAAACGAATGAAGATGTGAAAACCAGCTAGCCAGCCAGAATCGAAAGGACTAGATACGCACGCCTTTATCAACCTGAAATCAGTTTGGAAATCCCCTACACACTCAGCAGCATAAGCAACAAGATTCGGATTTCCAACACCAATGTTATGTCAGTCAGTCAGTCAGTCAGTTTTTCTTCTATACACGTCAGAAACTTGCACTGTGTATCACGAGGAGGATTCCCAACAGCCTGGTGCAGCATTTCATCAACAGCTGCCACCTTTACTGACTGCCTCAATACTGAAGATCAAATAGCCAATCGAACAGAAAGAATTAACAACAAGAAACTCTGGCTGGGACGGAACGAACCAAGAGCCAGTCGCTCAGCAAATAAGTAGGAGGAAGTGGAGATGGATTATGTATACATTAAGGAGGCCACCAAATGGCATCGCGCGCAATCCAGGCCGTTGCTCGATAGGAATCTTAGTGGGAAGGGACGATTGGATTGTTGTTGTGAGGTTGACATGGTGGAGATCGTGAGAAGAAGAGATGAGAGATTATGGGGAATTATGCATCCAGCTCAAGAGGGCGGCAGAAGACAGAACAATCTGAAGTTGTGTTGCTGAAGCACTATTGTCCACTTGGAACACAAGCCTGCCATGTTGCACCATGTTTCCAACTCTTAACAAGATAACATTAATAGTCCCGGTGAGTCAATAAAAGATCCTCCTAGGTCATTAGGAAAATAAGGTACCACTCACTGAAGGCAATTTTCATCATCAATTAATAACTTTTATTTTTACTTTCGAAGTCACTTCTAATAAACTATGTCAGTAATATCACCCCTATTACTCAATTATGGATTACTACATATTTTTGGTAAATATAAATATGACTGTACAACCTCTGAGGATGGAAATTATCCTTGGTGAACCGTCTTCGTTTTTTTCAACAAAAATCTCTGTCTTTACAGCTACTCCTTATTTATGGGTTGAACTTTCTCGAATTCATTTCATTTTGACTGAATGACAGCATATGTGCAGGTAGTATTAAAGTTCTGCTGGGTGGCAGATAACTTCACAAAACAAGCAATGTGTCAATATCCAGGTCTTAATACCCTGGACCTCACGCTGTCCTTAGAGGACATTGACAAACTATGCGTAATAACTAACACGAAGAACCAGAACGCAAATTGGTGACTCAAGAACCATCTGTTCTGGCACCAATACAGAGCCAACCATTAGGTTATTGTTCACAAAGTTTCTGATAGTTTTACACTCTTCCACCGAGCAGCGAACGATGAGACGATGACTGGCTGATTGATGACTCCCGCGAAAAATATGGAGTCGGGTTTGAGCAAACAACCATGAATAAATCGATCAATCATCAACTACATTGACACTCCCCTGCAAAATACCGATCCATCCCTTTTCTCCATCACGACCAATACATGTTGACTTGGATGCCAATGTGAGAACCTGAGTCACATAGACAAAGCTGAAATGGAAAACAATCAGCAAAGCCAACACACCACAGGCATAACCACAGCACAATCTCACACATCGACGACGACTTACGCCTTCCAGTTAAAGGTATAATCTTGACATCTCGCTACTTCTGACGATGTTTCACTCTTCTTTCTGAACAGCGACCGATGAGACGATGACTGTCGTATTGATGCCTCCGCGAAAATTGGGGAAGTTGATTTTAAGCAAACAACCAAGAATTGATCGTTCAATCTTCAACTCCATTGACACTCCCCGGGAAAAAAGGAATCCAACCCTTTTATCCTTCACGACCAATGCACGTCGACTTGGATGCCATTGCGAGAACCTCGGTCACACGGACAGAGCTGAAATGGAAAACAAACAGAAAAGCCAACACACCACAAGCATACCCACAGCACAATCTCACACATCGAGGACGACCTGCGCCTCCAGACAGAGACCTCCTCTTGACATCTTGAAACACAATCGCCACTTGCTAGAATGACTCTTGCAGAATGCAACGTGACCATAGCAGCACCTCATGATACTCTTCAAGCATCCTCTTATCTATTCACTACCAATTACCACTGCGATCGCTTGTTACTCATTCTGCCTGAGTTCCAATAACGGTGACGTGTGCAAGCCTCAGTCGTCTACACTCTTGCTCCCCGGCGTGGGGGACCACAGCCTCATTATTATCTCCATGTGTATGTCATTCTCAGAACTAGCCTCCCCGGCGTATACGGCCTGTCTGCTGTCTTTAACATTAATCGATTCATTCACGGATATAGAAGACTCGAAACAACATTAGAATTTATGCATCACAACGGGGTACGAAAACAACAAGTAAACACAATGAATCCAAAATACACTAATTCATATGACACACCATATATATAATAATAATGTGTATTCTCATGTAAACATATAAATTTACATGGAAATTCATGTCGTTTTTACAGGCACGATCAAGTATGATAAAATATCGAATCGTAAATTGTCTATAATTTAATAATTTTTCAACAGCTAAGTATTTGATATCTATATATAAATACACTGATTGTCTGAACCAGGCCGTGTAGTTATTGAATTGTACAATAGTCCTCCAGGTTGTGGGAGAAAATCGGCTTCGTTTCGTCTTCAACCCGTGGTTGTAGGCATATGATAACCAACCAATATTGAGGTAAGTACGACGTTTACATGGGAAGGAAAGCTGTTTTAGAAAAGTAAAAGTGCTAAGGTGAATCATTAAAGTGTAATGAAATAAGTAAGTGGAATATATCATTAATAAATGCATTCACAAAATAAATACAATGGGAAACTATTGAATCCCTAGGCTGGCAACGTTCATTTGCAATGTATAATGCTACCCATATAGGTCTTACTATCATGATGTCCACTTTTGGCTTCAATACAATTAATCTCAAGCCGGTTGTTTTATTTCATAACTTCTTGTATATTTGGTGCGCAACCGTACCCTACAGAGAATAAGAATAGAATAAGTCGAATCGAATTTATAAAGAGCTATAGAATGTTAGGTTTAATGGAATATAATGAGGATCAAATAAAGACGTTATTGGAAAATGAATGAGATGAGACATTGTGAACTGGTATTCCTAGATCCGACAATGGAAAGCGAGCTAATTTATAATTTATAAGATGCCCCATAAATATAGGCAGATCCCACGTGATCGCATCTCAACAATAGGCTGAGCGAATGGCATATATTTAAAGGTAGAAGCATGATCTGTCTAGGCGTTCATTATTATCTTTTTCAAGATAAAGATCTAAGCCCTCATAAAAATTAGAATTATCTCGAGCCTTTAATTTGTATATTGCTGTTCCTGCAGAATGGGGCGATTCACCTTAGTGACCACCATCATGTCTACCGATCAGCTAGCTCCACCATCCCTCCTTTTTTGATGTTAGGCTCTGAGATTATGATTATTATGGCTACCGCAAATATATTGCTTGGTACCAGACATGTTCGTACCTCATATTCCATCTCCCTAGCTTTCTTAATGAGTGCTTCCAATAGGTCTCCACGTACATCTTTATGAACATATTATATGAACAGATTACTTTATAAGGAGTTAAAACCTTAAAGAGTAAAAAGAATAGGTTTTGTGAATAGTGGAGCAAGATTCAGCGGAACATCATAGTTAGGGTTCAATGTAGGTAGTATGAACTGAAGGTAAGGTCGTTCGGC